CAGCCGTGTGTCCTCCCCGTGCTGTGTCCTCATCCGGCATGATAAGTGGCCTTTCCCAGGGGATTGTTTGAAGACCAAGTGAGGTTATGTGTGTCAGGTGCTTATCCTACTGCTTGGCTCCTCATACAGTGTAGCTTTAATTTTTATCCTTAGTCTCCCTCACTGTGCCCACCATACACAGCCATTTCCTAACAAACAATTTGGCCCGAATATTTATCAGCTCAGGTGTTTGGTGCAGAGGACCAGTCTAGAGAGCTGAACCACACAGTGATGGGTAGACATCTTTTACCATTTGCATTGGCTTTTTGAGACTTGAGAAAGGGGGGTGGGGGGGAGACAGAGCAGGGTAGAGAAGGCCTTTTTTTTTTTAAGCATATACCTCCATGAGTAAAGTCATTCAAAGTTATCATCAGTATGACGAATACATGTATGGAGGTATATGTATCTATATTCGTATGACTAATCAGTGTATTAAATGAATAGATATATAGTCAGTTGTATCTTTTTGATATATAACCAACTAGCCTGCATAGGATGAGGGAGTGTTGTCTTTTTCAGATCTTGGAGTCATCTAAGGGGAGCCTGGATGGCTCAGCCGGTTAAGCATTTGCCTTCAGCTCAGGTCATGATCTCAGGGTTCTGGGATTGAGCTCCGCATCTCACTCCCTACTCAGCAGGGAGTCTGCTTCTCCCTCTACAACTGCTACTCCCCCTGCTGGTTGCTCATTCATATTCTCCCCCCGCCCCCAAATAAATTAAAACTTTGTTGGGGGGAAAAAAAAAAAGGAAAAGGTCAGCTGAGCCAATGCCTTCATTTGGTAAATGAGAAAACTTAAAAGCTAAATGATTTAAGTTTATATACCTAGTTGTTGGTAGAGCTGAGCACAGAGTCCATTTTAGCCGATTCCAGATTCAGTGTGCTTTCCCTACTCCGCAGTTGTCTGTCCCTCACTAAGCTTGGCCTTTAAGGGAGGCTCTGACATGTTCTGGTCAGGGGAGCAATAGACCCCAGTTGTCACCCAGCCCTGCAGCTCACTAGTGAGCTTACCTTGGCAAGTTCCCATCCCCTTGGAGCCTTGACCCTGGTGATGGTACCCATGTCGCATGGCTCTTCAGGGGATTAAATGATATAATGCATGCAAGCTCATTTGTTTTTTTTTTTTTCCCAGAGATCCTGACTTACTGTAAGCCTTCAGTAAGTGACTATATGCTTATGTAAGGTAACTCCTTTAGAAATTACTCTATTAATAAACATTTGTTGTAAAAAATCATAATGTGCAGATTAGCATAAAGAAGAAAATGAAAAGCACCCATAATACCATCATCCAGAGATAAGCTCACCTTTCTTATAGATTTTTCTCATTGAGTTTTGATTGCATTTACTATCTGAAAAATACAGCATAAAATTCTATATGTTAGTGATCCATTAGAGCCAAACACTTCACATTAATCATGAGAGAAGAGGCCACGACAGTACCTGATCATTATTCTTTCCGAAGAGTAGAATGTTACTATAAAGTTGTACCAGTCGCATATAAATTTGTGCATATAGATTTTAAACCTCCTACTAGTTTTTGCTATGATTTTATTACTTCTTTGCCTTCTTTAAATTCTAACTTGAGCTGTATATGTATCAACCAGTGGTTTGTTTTTTTCTGAAATATAACGAATTGTCCATTGTACAGACCTTGGAAGTGTGACCTATATGAGTTGTTTTGGGACTTTGTTAGGACTCACATGCTCATGGTTAAGCTGCAAAACCTTCTCAGATCAAAGAAGTTTAAATCATTGGGAGGTTAATTTTATATCTCCTTATTCCAGAAAGGTGATTTATAGGTCTCTCTGCATGGAACATGTGGTAATGTTACAAAGTTCTAGCCTGGCTGGGTTTTTTTCTGTTTTTCTTGCCTCTTCACTTTGTGGCCTGAGGATTGTGTGCTAAAAAGATGGGTTCTGGGAAAGGAGTTTTGCCTTCAAATGGAAGATTGAGTCATGGTTTGGCTCCTCTGTTGATTATTGCGTGTGTGTTCCCATGAACTCAGGTGTTTTCAGTGTGTAGATGTACTATGGTGATTTGCAGACTATTTGAAAACTATCCAGTTCCTTCCCTGGCAGAGGTCTTGAGGCAGGGCCCCCCAACTCCCAGGAGCTGGACAGGGGTGGGTGTGGACAGTGGGACGGTCCATGGTGCCTGCACCCGGGTCAAATACAAAATCCTGTCCCAGGGAGAGTGCCAAGGGTCGCAGTTGGAAAATTGTGGCCAAAGGCATGGACATAGAAGGCAACAGGCCAATGTAGGCCATGAGCGTTCTAAGAAGCAGGGAAGACATGGTAAGAATAATTTGAACTAGAAGACCTTCCAGAGCAGGAAGGCACTGGGCTCATTGTAGGGTCCAGCTTTCTTGGGGGTTTGCTTTGCAGGGCAGGGGGGGCAGTTGGACTCATTAAATGGCCCTAGGTAGATCAGGCAGAAAACAAAATTAAGGATTAGGAGGTTGAATTACTAGTCTTAAGCAAGACTTTCCCTGAGTGTTATTAATGACACTCTTATTTAGGAAAATGTTGCTCATTTGCGGGCTGTTTGTTTCAGTACTTGGAGTTATTGCCAGTACTGGCTTTGTTCCAATCTTGGTAATCCTCTGAGGTTTCAGGAAAAAAAAATGGTTTAGTTCCCCACCCCCTTCCCATGGAGAAATTGGTTTATGTATAATTTAATTATTTTGTTAGCCAGTCATCCTGTCACTGCGTACAAAAACAGCAACCTTAAAAACCACCATCTTCATTCAGTGTCAGAAATGTTCATAATTGCTTTTTCCTCCATTATAAGTGAATATATAACAGGAAGATTTCTTGCTAAAAAGCTAAAATGCACTGACTCTGTTTTCTGTACTTTCAGCGATGCCCTTGAAACCTTGCAAAGTATTATCCAGTGATTTAGAGTAACAAGAACTGAGATAAATGATCACTTTCAAAGAGGAATTAAAGTCCTGAGTATTCTGTAGGGAAGTCCTATTTTAGAAGATCCCCCCGGACAGTATTTTCATCTGAGTGAATTTTGGGAGGTTCTTTTGAGGGCAGAAGAGCAAGGAGGGAATGTACTTTTCTTTGTCAATATCTCATCTTGCTCATGTCTCTCCGTTTGATGGACTTTCTTTATGCACGGTCTTGTTTCATCTTTCCCGATTAGGCTATTTGTGGGGAAATTCTTTATCCTGACGTGTGGCTGTGAACACGTCGTTACTTAATTTAGTGTGAGGCTGACTTCAGATCTATACCCTGCTTGCTTCTCCTCATCCATTTTGTGTGGGGTTGAAGGTCTCACAGTGTTTCTAGCCCATCGGAAGCCTTCATGTTATAAATATGCCTTATAGCAATGTTTTATTTAGTCCATTTGCAAGAATTTAATTGGAAGTAGATAATTCACGCTGGCCTGAGATTCCAAGGTGCAGATGTTTGCACTGCTGCTGGGACCAGCTGAGGCTTCATCTGCTTGTAGGCTGCTTTTCCACTGGTTTTCCCTCATTTCTCACATGTGTGGAGCCCCAGATATTGCTTCTCACCGTGATACTGCTGCAAGGGCTCTGTAATTAGGCACAGCCATCCAAGACAAGTCAGTATTTTCGTTTTTTATGAGTAGAAACCATTTCAGCTTTCCTCCTGGGGAGTCCTTTTGAGTCTCTGAAGTCATTCACAAATATGGTAAAGTCTAATTTTACTCCACCAGAAAAAAAAGAGAGAGAGAATATTGGTCTTTTCCTATCTAGGGATTCTGCCCTCCCCCAAGCTTTGCTGCCCTCCATTTATTGCTTTCTCATCATTTGCACAGGCGGATGGCTTTATGCAAATCACGCAGTTATTTTGGTCATAGTCAAAATTACCTGGCATTAAGCGCAATTTCCAGATGAGGGAAACTGCTGTGTGTGTTTGAAAATGCTCCCCAAGATGATGGGCAAACCATCTCGACGGAATCCGCGTTCCTGGCGGAGGAGGCCGTGGCCCTCCAAGGCTCTCCCCCTTCCGCATGCTCTGTGTATTACCGTAGGCGCAGCTAGCTAGAGAAAGAATGCAGAAAAAGATAGTTTCGGTGACCGTTCATCAGCTACCTTTAATGATGTCCTCACCTATGTGTACACAGGGGATCTGGTAGCTTGGCATCATCGTATGGCCAGTTTTAACAAAGAGGCCAACAATATTCGTCACTGCAGCTTTCTTCTTTCTTTTACTAGAAACTGTGATTTTTTTTTTTTTTTTTTTTTTTGCCTAATTTTGTTCGGTAACCTTTTTGAAGGAATTCCTGTAAAATTGGGCGGTTTTGCTCTTCCCCTCAACTCTTTAAACTTCTGTGCATTGACAGAACAATCCATCTTCTAGAGTGGCTCTCGCAAGATTGCTGAGGGTTTTTTTTTCCTCCTTTTTCCTTTTATCTCTTTTCCGATAGTTTTTACCATCTTCTTCTTTGAGATGAACTAGTGTGAAGTGAACAGCCAGAAAATGAGGGGAAGTCTTGATCAATTAGCCTTAAACGATGAGCTGCTTTCCTGATTCTGAGATGAATGAGGGAGCTCTGTAGCTCAAACGCCATGCAGTTTCCTTTCCAGACATGCTGCAGCAGATAATAGAGCATGTCTGTCCTTCCCTTCTCATTCTCCTGCAATCTCTGTCTTTTACCTTTTTGCTGGGAGACCTCCCCCACTGCTCTCCATCTGGTGTAGACAGACACATGAGGCTTACCAGATGAAGGAGTCTGCAGCACGAAGTACTTTGAAGGACAGATAGAAAGTGTAGCTGTGGGCTCCTTGAGACCTTTGCTATGGTTGTTCCTCCATGTGAGAGGTTCCCTGCATCTATGCTGCTTGCTGAAAGCATGAAAGCCTAATAGCAGGAACAACCCCTTAAATGTAGTGGTATTGTGTGCTGGGAATGGTACTTGGTGCTTAGTATGGACATTATATGGTTTACAGATGAACCAGCAGACTTAGTGTCTCTTGTATATTTTTCAGGTTGAAAATTGGTGTCCTCATTTACCTTGGAGAGCCAAAAATCCCTATGAAGAAGCTGATCATAATTCACTGGTGAGTGATTTTTGGAAACTAGGCTTGTGATTTGGTTCTGTGCCAAGGGATACCTTCAGAGTTGGCTAGACAGGCCCACTATAACCTGAAATCACGGTAAACAGAAGAACTTCTATCAGCAGGCCTGTGGAAATTTGGGGGCTCGAATCAGTTCACCAGTAGTATCTGTTTCTCAAGCAATTCTCTGGGGGGGGGGATCCTGAGTGACAGGCTCCTGAGAGGAGTGAGACCTGATGCCAGACGTGGAGGTGTACTCAGCGATCTCATGAGAGTGATGGGTGAAAGTTGTGACCACACCTGCATAGAAGCTGAACTATAGGCCAGTGGGAATGAATGAGAAAGCGGTGATCTCAGCCTGCAGGGGTTAGGAGAGTTTGCAAAGAGATGATGATACTGGAGCTGAATTTCAAATGATGAGTGAGTTCACAGTAGATGAAGGAGAGGAGAAAGATGTGTCTGATGTGCAGGGGGAAAGGTGCCCGTACCAGAGTTTGGTGTTTTCAGGGAGTAGAGCACAGTTCAGTGGGCAAGGCCATAGGGTATTGGATGAGCTTTGGTGGAAGATGAGATGGGAAAGATCAGTAGGGACCATGAAAGGTTTTCTGTGCCACACTAAAAGCTCATGTCTTTATTCTTTAGACCAAGGGTCAGCAGCCCTTTTCTGTAAAAGGCCAGAGAGTGAATATTTTCATCTTCCCAGGCCAGGCCATAAGGTCTCTGTTGGAACTGCTCAGTTCTGACCTTGAGTGCAGAGGGCAGCTATAGACAGGATGTAAATGAGCAGGTATGGCCATGTTTTCGCAGAACTTTCTATACCAAAACAGGCACCTGGAGGATCTGACTCCCCCAGCCACAGTGTGCTGACCCATGCTGTAGGCCGTGGGAATCTTGGGAGAAGGTTGGGTCAAGGAGGGATCAGGTGAGTGTTGAGAACAAAGCATGTGACTGTTGGGGGATGGAGTTAGCATGTTCTTGATGTTACGAAAAATAAATAAGAATGCTGCTGTTTTTCTGTTATTCTGATCACTGGTTGTACTCAGGTACATTAGAAAAGTGTTCTTCCTGGCTTTTAAATTATTCTGGCCTGGGTTTTAAATTCTGTTGAGCTACGGTAGGAAAATGGTATTGCTGGCTTTTAAATTCCTTAGAAAATAATGAGCTTTTGTTTGTTTGAGATGGGGACAAAACTGGAAGATGAGCATTTATTTCCCTGCTTAACTCTGTGGGCAGATGAAGGCTTTTTGGCAAACTACACAATGCCAAGCAGCCTGTTAAGAACTGACTTTACTTTTCCAGGAGTCTGCTGCCTTGCAGTAGATCCAAGTGGCAATAAATTCGGGTGCAGAGAATTTCAAGGTACATCGAGCATACTCATTGCAAAAAAAAAAAAAAAATGCACTTTAATGTAACTCTGGGCTTTGCGGTGACTGTGCTGGGCCTTTCTCAATTTCTCATTTTTTAATGGTGTCCCATACAACAGATGAGCAGTCAGGGGCCTTTACTTTAATTTGTAATCCTGGGTCCTTGAAGTAAAGCTCTGCAGCAGACAAGCCTCACTTCTGAAACCCTGTATTTAATTGACTAGCTCTTTCAAGTTTTCAAATGTCACATCATGACAACCATTCTGCCTTCTGACTTTTTATCTTCTGTTCATTTTTATTAAATTTCTGTTTCTAGGCGGAAATTCGTACGGATTTTAATATTCTCTACAGCATGATGAAAAAGCATGAAGAATTCCGGTGGATGAGACTCCGGATCCGGCGAATGGCTGATGCGTGGATCCAAGCTATCAAGTCCCTGGCAGAAAAGCAGAATCTTGAAAAGAGAAAGCGGAAGAAAGTGAGTTTCTGAGGAATTCAGTTCGGTTAGATGCCAGTTTTCTTTTAAAATTCGATTTTGCTTGGAAACAAGACTAAGAGAAATGTCATGTCTCAAATGACACTCCCTTAGGGTGAATCTGCTCAGTGTCTGGTACGGCCTTCTTTGGGCTTCCCTTTCCCCCGTGACAGTAATCCTGCTTAGCAGGGACCAGCACACACGCTTCTCGGGTGAAGCCAAGCAGGGTATCTGCCTGTGAGAGTTTCCTTTGAACCGCCCTGACGCTCTGTCCCCGTGGCATCGGGGAGCCTAACCCTCTTGGCTTTACCTACAGACAGCCTTGGAGAGCTTGTTGTCACATCGTCATGGCAATCTCCTGGTCGTGCTGTTTGTCACTTCTGGGCTTTGGGCAACTGCTGAGTTCCGTTGCTGCTATGTTGAATTGGTGCTTCTCCTTGTATTCTTGAGGGAGAGATACTGTCGATTAAACTGGAACCGATCTGTTTGAACTTCAAGGGGATTTGCTTAGAAAACCTCTGGGAATAACCCTGAGCACCAAACATTTTATACCCTATAAGGTAGAGGTTAAATGGCCTTGGCTTTAGAGTAACTGTTTGGATGACAAACAACAGAGCAAATTACACAGTCTTTAGTGTACCCACATCTAAAAATTAATTAAAAAAGACTTTGGTGTTCCTAATTTGACTACTTTGATATCCTCAAAAAAAAAAAAAGGAAATGGGGAGGATGAGCTTGCAAAACCCTAAGTCACAGTTCAGTGGTTCCATTTTTGCTAAATCCCTTGAGTTTATGAGACAGAAGGTCCAAAAGCTCAGGCCCCAGATAGTCCTCTGTAGAGGAGTATGAGGTCAAAAATCCAGGGGGGCTGTAAGAAGAAATACAGTATTTTTACAGAATCCTATGCAATAATCTTTAGGGTATATTGTCAAGTCAATAAATAAGACATGGAGAACAGTGAACATTATTTTTAAAAGGAAGAGAGAATTTATACACACACACATACACATACACGTATACATAAAGATATGTGCATGTACACACACATGATGTATATATAATACACATTTATGCTTGCTCATATTTTTAAAAATAGGATAGACCATGAAATTAAAAATAAAGGAGATGGTTGCATAACATTGTGGATGTACTTAATGCCACTGTACACTTAACAATGGTTAAAATATTAAATTTTATGCTAATCACAATAAAAAGAGTCAAATACGGGGAAAGAGGAAATAGTGTGGAGACAAGGGGTGTAGAAACTAGACTTATGTAAATATATCTTTCTCTGTAGCTTTGATACTAGAGTCACTTGACATAGTATAAAATAAAGTTGAATTGCAAAAAAATTATCTAAAAATTACAAAGAAGATATGAACTGACTACATATCCAGTTTTACAGTCAACACACAAAGAACTGTTCTTAGGGACTAGAACACAGACTTTTCAGCATTTCTGATGGTATATCACAAAGGACAAAAAAATGGCCAAATATCTTGAGAAGTTTTACTGAGTTTACATGTAGTAGGTGGTGGTGTAGATATTCTCATTCTGAATCCCTTCTGCATATTGGAATAAAGCAAAGTACTTATGTTAGTATCCTCGAGAAGTGGGATTTTCCGTCTGGGAGAGACAAAATAACATATGTAAGATGGATAATGTTATGCAAAGTTACTGTAATCCTGAGTTTGAATGGGAAGTACCAGTGTGAATTTATGATTTGTTTTATCCTGGAGGAGAAATAAATTTCCAGCTATGTCCAGTGAAAAGGGCTACAGACAGTGATTAACTAGAGTCCCCTTAAGCACCAGACCTTGATCTTTAGATGCCATTTCCACTCAATGGTATAAGAGGTTCTTGGAAAAATGGTTGGTTAAGGTCTTAGAAGTTGTACATGTTGAGCTGCAAACATATGTCATAGTGGAGAGCAAAGGCACTCTCAAAGACTACTAGAATCCTGTCAGAAGAACTTAGAAGCCAACTTGAACAGCCTTCCATTGGCAAGATGGGACAATTTGATAATCCATAAAGATAACTTCTATCTGTGACTGTGTAAAAGCCTCCTTGACGGTCATTGGAGTAGGCTAACGAACAAATTTGTTATTTGGAAAACTGATAAATAAAGAGCAAGAGTCAAATATTTACCAGGCTTTTTCTCTATAAACTGTACTTCAGCAAAGCCAAATAATTGATGGGGGTGGGGGGTAATTTCTCTTTGTAGAAGCATTCCAGCTAATAAAAGCAGAAGGAATAATAAAATATCACCATTTTGTAACTCCTGATGGATCTGAAGGCCTCTATTTAGTGATCATCAGTAGCTCCCAACATCACCAGAGATCCTAGACATTGTTCCCACTAGGGAAAGGAAGCATACAGCACCGCCTATGAAGTAGCATTGCCAAAAACATCAAATATGAACTGAATCATGCCTGTGGATCTAATTACTAGTTTACTATAAATACAAGGGGTAGAAGAATCTGTTACACAATCAGCAAAACCCGAAGTGTGAGAGACTCTACTGGAAATACAACCTTGGACAAATGTCTTTTTGTGTCTTGGACAAATAAAACTCTCCCCAACCCCAAAGGCTGGTGCTAAAGAAGCCTAAGAAATAAATGAGACACTTAGACTTAACGCACTTTATTTGACTTCTGCCTGGAACGACTACGCTTGGAGGAGGCGTAAACACTAACTGGATAGTGAATGATATTAAGGAATGAATAACTGTTTTAGGGGCGAAAGTGATGTTATGCTTGTGTTTTTTAACTGAAGGTCTGTTTCTTTTAGAGATACAAACTGAAGTATTTGCAGATGGAAGGGTATGATCTCTAGGATTTGCTCCAACATCAGCTAGAGGGGTTGGGAGAAAATGAGGGGTGTACATTAAGATTTGTCCTGAGTTAATAATTGTGAAATTTACGTGATGAGTGCCTTGGAATCGACTGTGCTACCATGTCTGATTTTGGATATGTTTGAAATTTTTTGCATTAAAACCTTAAAAATATTCCAGCTGTGGGGAAGAAACACCCAGTATTGTTAAATGATATTTTATTGCCTTCGCTTACTTGCCTTTAAGTCTAATTTCCCAAATGTATCCTGCTTTCTAAAAAGAGTGTCCATCTGTCATGTTCAGAGCCATAACGGGGTGTGGTAGTGACTCTGTTTCCTTCCATTTCTTTGTACCTTCTGGAAAAATCTAGGCCAGGATGAGGTTATGTGAGAACATAAACATCACTTTAGATTTGGTTGATTGCTTTTGGTGTGTTACTGTGGAGTTTGTACTTGGTTCAGTGGGAATCAATAAATGCCTCTCCTTTGTTTTTTTTTTTGTTTTGTTTTTTTCAGGTCCTCGTTCACCTGGGACTCCTGACTAAGGAATCTGGATTTAAGATAGCAGAGACAGCTTTCAGTGGTGGCCCTCTCGGTGAATTAGTTCAGTGGAGTGATTTAATTACATCTCTGTACTTACTGGGCCATGACATTAGGATTTCAGCTTCACTGGCTGAGCTCAAGGAGTAAGGAGATTACTTTTCAATTTTAAAATCAGAATACAAAAAAGAAATTGTAAACTCTTAAAGCCCTCTATTAGTGTGTAATTTCTTGTGGAGGAAAATGAAAGTGATAATTCACTAAACAGGAGATAAGAAGATTATTTTCAGGAGCTAAATACATACACTGTGAAAAGGATAATATGTTTTCATTGTAGCTGCAGGCTCCAGAGGCTTCATAAATGAATGCCAGAAATTTCAAACTAAGGAGCTTATTCTTTGCTATTACAGGTGCTTCCAACATGTGCAGCACAAAACATTATTGACTTTGCTAATTCCCTGTCTCCTGCTGAAATTCATACCCTTCCCTACTCAACTGCAAGCCTCCCAAATCTTAAAACAGGGCAAGTTCCTGTTTATAATTTAATTTGGATAGAATGAGTTTCTTGAAAGCCCTGAGCCAATCCTCTTTCAGTAAAGCCAGCTTTCCAGCCTGAGTCTGTTAACTCTACCTGGCTTTTCTGATTCCCTGAAATCTGCTTTCGGTTCTAGCCCTCTCGTAAACTCCTATAGATTGACACAGCTGGCTAGGCACGAATGCTCTGCGCCCCTTCACTCCTTTTGGATAACTGCCCATAGAGACTTTGTTCCCAGCAGCCAAGTGTTCATGTTGCCATATGCCAAACGTTCCAGAAGAAATACCTCGAGTGAACATTCTAGAGATAGAAGGGTATTTAAAACAAAATATGTCCCCTCCAACCCATCCTCCGCTCCTACTTTCCTGTCCAAGACATTGATGCCCAGAGAGGTCACTTGTGTTAGGGGCCAAGGTCCACATAGCTGATAAGTGGCAGTGTTGAGATGAAAGCAGTAATATCAACTGTCATTTTTTAAACGGTTTCTACATGCTAAAACTGTGATCAGGGCATTAGTTACAGCAAGAGTGTCAGCAGTTAGGATAACCACAGCATAGATGGAGGCTATGAACACCTAACTTTTGGTGAGCACCTACCGTTCGTTGGACACTGCACATTTTACGTACTGTTTACACAAACTCGGAAGTAAGTGCTGTTGCTTACTGCATTTTAATGATGAGGAAACTGAGTTGCTTAAGAATACGTAGAAAACATGTGAGAGTTCTGTGTCGGACCTCAAAGCCTGTGTTCTTGACCACTGTATTAGATTGCTCTTTTTGGATCCAGATAAATCCAAGGTCTTCTGAACCCCTAAACACTGCCCGTGTCCCTTCAGCACGCTGCCCCCTGCTTGCTTTAAAACACACTGTGTACATAGCCTGTGAAGTCGAGGCATCCACACATTTAGCAGTCATTCTCTCAGTGCTTTCTGGGCACGGGTTCTTGGTAAAACGGGACAGACAGAGATGACCAGCATGCGTTCAAGGAAATGCCAATCTTCTGGTAATTACAGCTAATACATTGCGTAATAATTACACTAATTGCAATGTGATTAGTAGTAATTGAAGCATGACTGCTAGAATGTAAGCCAAGGGAGTACAGAAATAGTGATTGTTGCTCACTGTGGTGTGTGTGGCACCTAGAATAGTGCCTAGCACCCAGTGGGTGCTTGTGACTTGGGACTGAGCAAACCAGTGAAGGGTTGAATCTGGGAATGAGTGAGTGGGTGAATGAGTGGAAAACTGGGAACTCTAGGGATGGTCAGAAAAGGCATATTAGGGGACTACCAGGCAGAGACTTACCTTGTTGGTCAAGATGTCTATGGAGTGCTTTGAGTACTGGTAAGAGAGCTAGATGTGTTTTATTTAAGAAGACAGTTATGGAAGCCACAGAGGGCAGAACATGCCTGCACATTACCATCATGGGGGATCTTTGGGGCCTCCCAGTGCCCAGATCATATGCCAGACTAATTAAATCACAGCCTTCGAGAATAGGACACAGGACACACTAAGTATCTCGATGCCTCTGGATAATTCCAGTGTGCAGACCAGTGTGGGAACCAACAAAAACAGGGTCGACCAAGGGTCCACACACCTGGCACTGCGGGCTCGATGCAGTCTTCTGTGTGTTTTTGTTACAAAACTCCCATAGGAACATAGCCACACCCATTACGGATGAATTGCTGTGACTGCCTTTGTTCTCCAAGGGCAGAGTTGTGTAGTTGAGGCAGAGGACATGTGGCCTGCAAAGGTGAAAGTATTTACTATCTGGCCTTGTGTAGAAATACTTTCAAATTCTTGGGAAGCAATTGGTTGTACAGAACCTGGTATTTTCTGAGGGTCAAGCGAGCTGAGGAGCAGGGTACCTAAAGGAGTGGCAGCACGGAGTTACGGAACAGAGTCCTGCTTCTAGGACTCGTCCTTCAAAGGGGGATAGCCAGAATTTGGTGAAGGATGGTTATGGAGTGCAGGCAAGGATAAGAGGCGTCAGTGAGTACCGATTTCTGGGTGAGCGGCAGTGTGGTTCGGTGAGCAGTTTTTAACTCCCACACGTGAAGTTGGCATACAATCACGTATGTCGGCTCTCTCTGGGTGCAGGGGTGGGGTTGTATGGATGGGTGAGGAGATGGGTAGATGGAAGGAAGGGTAGTACCGGTTCTATAATAGAGTCTAGTCAGAAGGAAAAATTTGACATAGAAAAAATTAGGAAACCACACAAGACAGTATAGAACTCTGTATCGTAGCGGCTAGAAATTGAAGACCTTTAGGAGGTCAGTAGGGTAACGAGAGCAGTTTCTGTGAGGGGAAGCAGTAGCCACTGAGTATCTGCGATACATGAGGCACTTCTCTTTTTAAAATCTCATTTAAGCACCTGAAGAATCTCTGACAGGTTGCTTTCTTACTATCTTTTCTGTCGCAAATCCTGTTTTGTGGGAAGGTTGCTTTTTTTGTTGTTGTTTCTTAGGAGGAAAGACCAGAGAGGTTAGTGACTTGTCTAAGATCTCACAGCAGCTAGTGGAGGTAGATAGATTCAGACCCAGGTCTTCCTAGGTTTCAAAGTGTGTGTGTGTGTGCGTGCACATGCATGAGCCACCATTTACTTGTGCCAGACTCTGAAGCAGGACTCTGGATAGGCCTTGATGGGTGGGCAGAATCTGGATAGGCAGCAGATTGGGACAGACCATGCCCTCCTCCCCGACAACATTCTTGGGATGTTTGCCTATTAATGTTGCTAAGTGTCGTATCTTGAAATAAATTATTATTTTTCTTTCCTTTCTTCCCTCTCTCCTGTCCCTCTTTCTAGGATAATGAAGAAGGTTGTAGGAAACCGGTCTGGCTGCCCAACTGTAGGAGACAGGATCGTTGAGCTCATTTATATTGATATCGTAGGACTTGCTCAATTCAAGAAAACTCTTGGGCCATCCTGGGTTCACTACCAGTAAGTCCTACTTGCTGTCCTAAGTTAATTGGGTATTTGGTCTTTTGGGTTTGTTTTTTTTTTTCTTTTTTCTTTTCCTTAAATGGCAGAGCATTGTTACAGGCAGAAATGCTTATCAAATATTAGCTTTTGGACTGTGTAGAGTAGGTTCTTCGTTCCTAAATGAAATTCAGATTCTCCCCCATTTTTTTTTACTTTCAAAGACCACTCATTATTTTCATTGATTTCTTTTAGGAATAGAAAATAAGTGGCCAGCCACCTCTTTACCTTCCTTAATACTCCTCATTCCTCTCTGTGTCCCTACACCAGTCTCATTTGTTTAAATAACAATTTGGACAAAATGTGGAAAATGTCATTTCTCATGTTGCTCAGGTTTGAGATGATGACTCATTTCTCTTCCCCTTTCCCTCATGAGTTGTCATTTTTGGAAGAGAAAGCTGTGAATACCTTGTTTGAATGCTGGGGTCTTGTACTTTTTAAGACAAGACCCATGCTGAGAATGACCCAGGTACATGCCTTTATCATGTTGGAGAAGAACTCGTTTCCCTCAGAGTGGGTTAGCGACCGTGATTTAGTGTTTGAAATGATTTTACATGGTACACAAGCATGGCATTAAATAACAGTGAATTATATAATGAGTTTATTAACCTTTCAGTTTACCTCCAATCTTTCTAAAAAGGCTTAGTCTGATGCTGTGACATCTTGTAACACTTACATGCATTTTTAACAAGATGAGGGTAGCTGTCAGTTTTGGCCTTCAGACAAAGTATCCAGCTTGAATTTAATAATAATTTTTAAAGAAGAGAAATATGCTATTTTTGGTTATCTTCCGCTTCCTAGAGTTGGCACTGGCTTTCATTTATGGCCTCTAAAAGTTTCCAGTAAATGTAAGTAAACATATTTTATCTAATGGTGGCAGTGGTACGTAAATTTGGGTAGAAATCCTGAAGTTAGTACCAACCTGACGACCCAATGGTAAATGTTGACCTACAGTTTGAACCAAGTTCCTAAAAAGAACACTTGGAAAATCTTTCAATTAGCATGACTTAGAAATCTTTCCATGTGTTTCTTTTCTGTTGCTGTTGGGTAAACAGATGTTTTGATGTGTTCTTCTACCTTGACCCCATAATTGAATTCTTAATGACTTGACCTAGGTCCATTTCAGATTAGTTTATAGTTTAATATTATTTATAAACTTTAATCTCCAAGCTGATGTCAGATTGCAAGTCCTTTAGTAGAAATTCAAAGGAAATAAAAAGTCAAAATATTAAGAACATTCTCCAAAACATAGTAGGGAAAACATCATTGTAGAATGTTCTGGCAGATTTCTTGCCAGTGACTATTTCTTTTCTCACTGGCTGGTGCCATACTCAGGGACAGAGGGAAGGGACTGATTGAGAAGAGACTGTGCACTTTTCATTTCCTTTCGGATATAGTTTCATCAAAAAGCAAAATAAAGGGGCACCTGAGTGGCTCAGTTCTTAAGCGTCTGCCTTCAGCTCAGGTCATGATCCCAGGGTCCTGGGATGGAGCCTGCTTCTCCCTCTCCCACGTCCCCTGCTTCTGTTCCATCTCTCTCTGTGTCTCTCTTTGTCAAACAAATAAGTAAAATCTTTAAAAAAAAATAAAAATAAAAAAGCAAAATCTTGGTTTGGGCCAGGATTGCACTCTACCTTCTGCATCACATTATTCCTTTTTTTGTTGTTTGTTTTTTCCTTGAAATCTTCATACATCACAAGCCATCACATTTGTTCTCAGTTATGTGGAAATAGCCATCTTTCTTTTTGGTTAATAAGCCATGTAAGTAAACTTTTTTTTTTCCCTTTTTAGCTACAGCATTAAAGAAGGAAAGAAAGGCAGAGCATTGTTCTCTGGCATTTAGCAAATGGCAGGCACCTGGTACAAAAGGACAGAGCCATCACAGGCATCCCTAGACTCACATATCCTCCCCATTAAGAAGGGCTGTTGGGATGGAAAAATGTCCTCAGTGGTAGTGTTCCAGTCAATTAAAAAGGATGATTTCATTATTAAAATGGTTACCACTGGTTAGTATTTGATTCTCGTTGGATGAAAAGGCACCATCTCAAAGGAATTTTATGGAAGGGGTGTAGTATCTCTCGTGCCTTTCTCTCATAAATCAAACACATTAGTGATACTGGCTGGCAGAGGTCTATCAGGACTCTAGGCCTGTAGTCTCTGTGGTGTGATGAAGCTAAGATTTCATCCAAAGACTAAGCAGATCCTCTAGAAAGTTCTTAGCCATTTCTTTCCCTTTTGAAGATGAGACAATCCAGAACTCTGAATTCATTTTGGTTGATGGTACATGGTAGGAACTCCATTATATGTAAATGGAATTTACACCTGGTCTTCCTTTTAGGAGCAAAACCTTGAGTCCTGTTGATCTTGGAAACATATTTGTAAATTCTTTCCAATTTATGTAGGGACCCAAAAAAATTCAGTTAAACATCTGTTCTGTGCCTACATGCAGCTAGTATACCATTCAGGACTATAAAACTCATACCCATTTTGCTTTCTGTGAAGTCTTTGCTGAGTATTGAGGACACACAAGGAAGTGAGGTGCACATAGCGTGAGATATACCATGTTTTACATCCAACTCCAAAGTGGAAAGTAGGTCCTGGCAAGGAAGTCGTCCATCTTACAGTAGTGTGGCTCAGAGCAAAAAGAATGTTCCCGGAGTCATTTGGCATGGCCATAGCGATTCCTGTGAGAAGGAGGCCAGCTGCCTTGGGCAGCAAGGCAGATATCTTCTTAAGTCATTGGTCTGTCCGTGATGTTTCAGACACACAAAGACTTTAGAGGAACTGCATAAATATTAACAACACAAATCCAGTTCCAAACACACAGCTGTAGAATGTGATTGAAGGAAGAGCGCTATTATGTTAAACCTCTTCTGCCCTAAGCAGAGATCCATCCCCTGCCTCTGGTTTATAAAACAAACCCAGGCCCACTAAAAAATAGACCAATCCCAAACCAAAGCTTAAGTAGGAGGATGTAGAATTCCAAGTTTCTTGGACATTTGATCTTTCATGCTCTAGCTTTCCTCTGGGAAGAAGTCCAGCATCACATAGCACAGTATCAAAGTCTGGGCATGCAGGCATTAGGCTCCCATCAGGCATCTTGACTCATCAGGGATCATCTTAATTATCTAAATTTAAGATAAAACCAATAAAACTCCAACGTTAAAAATAAAATCACACGCCAAAGCTAGAGAGGCGTAGTTGTCAGAGTAGATTGCAAATGAGGAGAAGTAGCCAAAGCCTTCAAGACAAAGGTTTCATAGGATGAGGGTGGCCTGTTCATCCCTGCAGTGCCTGCACAGAGCCTATAATCTTTGAGGCTCAGCCCCACCTGTGGGTGTGTGTCCCTCTCCCTCTTCCTGCTCTGCAATCCCTACATTCTCTGAATGCTGCCGTATTTCTCAGAAGAATATACACTGGCTCCAACCAGTGGCTTTTGTATTTTGTATTTTAAAATACAAGTTAAAGTGTTAATTATAGGAGGTTTTTATATAAGTTTTTAATGCAAACTTTGACACTGAAAAATATCTAAGTTGGGGAATGACAATGTTTTGTTAAGAGAAAAGGAATGCCCCAAACTACTCAGAGACCAGGGGAAACACACATGGGTCATTTCCTTGGCTCCCCAGCTTTCTTTTTCCTGGACTATGGGCTCCCATTTCCTTCCACCTGTTGGTTTTCAGGCTGATGATGCAATCTTGGTGCTAATGGTGAAAACTGTCAGTGTGATGATAGCATGTTCCTTGCCCGCCACACGGGAATCCAAAATAAGGAAATGCTTTCTGTGGTCGGCTTGCGTTTGCTCCCATCCTCTTTATTTTCCTCCCTTCCTTGTCTAGACAAAGGGTGGCGATCTCAGATGAGAAAAACCTCACACTAAAATGGCAATTTGCTATTGATTTTTCTGGAAAATCCAATCTGGTGTTTGCATTTTATTTTTTTGAATCACACATTGATGTAAAAAAAGTTGTTAAAAAAAAAAAACTTGAGAGAACGCTTTCATCATAGTGGGAAAATGAAGGAAGAAACTAGATCTGATGTTTACAACTCACTTGCCATTATCTGATTGTAAAATGTAGGCTTTAATATTTATTCGCTTTTATGCTCATTGGCCCAGTAAGAGCCATTCAGAAGCATTGCTGAGGTATAACCACAGAAAACAGAGCTATTTTTATTGGCCAGGCATAAGCTAAATTTACATCAATGGTTTGAGAATCAGTGATGAATTGAAAGAATGAGTTAATTAATGGAGGAGGTTTCAGCATTGATTCTTGCAATTGGTCGATTCTTTTCGACTCTAAAGCAGTGATCGACAGGCTCTCTCTGTAAAGAGCCATGTAGTAAATATTTTAGGCTTCTCTGGCCATATGGTCTCCGCGGCAACTGCTGAAGTTCTCTGTTACTGAGTGGAAGCAGCCATAGACCTAAGTAAACAATTAGGCGTGGCTGTGTTGAAATAAAACCTCATTTCTGAACCCCCAAATTTGAATTTCATCTAATTTTCATGTCACAAAATATCCCTTTTAAAAAAATTGAACATAAAGATCATTCTTAGTTCACAAGCCTTGCAGAAATGGGAGGTAGACCAGATTTGGCTGACCCAGTTTGAAGACTTTGTTGGAAGAGCCAAATGAAACATCTTCAGTTTTACTCCTGGCTCTGGGAGAAAGAAGTAATGTCCCAGTGCTGTCAAATATATAAAAATCAACACTGCCTCGTCAGTGGGATTCTAAACTCTACCTAAAATTCAATACTCTTATTAATTGACAAAAATGGTAAGTGACTGTGGAAAGAGCTAAGGCAGGCCATATGCCTTACAGAGAGTAAGACCACCATCTTCATCCGTTCAGGCTGTATAAGAAAATGCCACAGTCTGGGTGGCTTAGAAACATTTATTGCTCATGGTTCTGAAGACTGAAGGGCAAGGTCAGAGAGCCAGCGTGGTCGAGTGAGGCTCTCCTTCTTCCAGGTCTCAGACTTCTCACTTTGTCCTCACCTGTTGGAAGGGGCGAGGGAGTTCTGTGGGGTCTCTCTCTCTCTCTTGTTTATTTATTTTAGAAAGAGATCAGGAGCTGGAGGGGCACTGGGAGAGGGAGAGAGAGAATCCCAGGCAGACTCCCTGCTGAGTGTGGAGCCTCACATGGGGGCTCAATCTCACGTCCCTGAGATCATGTCCTGAGCTGAAATCAAGAGTTGGACACTTAACTGACTGTGCCATCCAGGCGGCCCTGTGGGGTCGCCTTTTATAAGACTACTAAACCCATTCATGAGCTAATCACCTTTATGACCTTATATCACCCCCAGAGCCCCATTTCCTAGTACCATCACCTTTGGGGGTTAGGATTTCAACCTAAGAATTTGGGAGGAGAATACAAATTCTCAGATCATGGCCACTTCTAAGAACCTTAATTCTTTGTTTATTCAGCAACTCTTCATTAGGTACCACCATACGATCTGCCCTAGCTCAGGGCATAGCGGTGAACGTGGCAGTCTGCGATGGCAGCTCTCATGGGACTTTATATTTTGCTGTTATTTGAGAGATCTTCTGTGACTTGTCAGCTAATCTGTAGCAAAATGTTTCTGTGTGTGATGGCTCAGAAGTCACACATAAGATGTTTGGTATATATATATATATTCCACAGTCTCTCACTTCCCACCCACTCGTGTTTCTGATGAAAACTATTTGTCCATTTTTGGTAGTCCCTGCAGGAGGGGTTAGAGCTTTTTGCCTTTTTTTTTTTTTAAAGGTTTTATTTATTTAGTAGAGACAGAGCCTGAGTGGGGCCGGGGTGGTGGTCTGCAGAGGAAGAGGGAGAAGCAGGCTCCCGCTCAGGGGCTGGATCCCAGGACTCCAGGATCATGCCCCCAGCCAAGGACAGACGTTTAACTGACTGAGCCACCCAGGTACCCCGAACTTTTACCTTTGAGCTTCGGGGTCAAAGTTGCAGTGTTATCCATGTTGCTTTTTCCTTTCAGGTGCATGCTCCGAGTCCTGGATTCATTTGGTACCGAGCCAGAGTTTAACCACGCTAACTATGCCCAGTCCAAAGGCCACAAGACACCCTGGGGCAAATGGAATCTAAATCCGCAGCAGTTTTATACCATGTTCCGTGAGTATTCATGCTTTTCCTCTGCTTTCCAGAATGCCACCGAAGATAAACGGGGAAAGAAACTATTTTGGGTTATGATTCTCAGGCCTTTTAGCTGTAGAAACGTGTACTGTGGAACCTTTCCCTGAAGAATAACTGATTTTGTTGTTGTTTAATTGGCATTGAAAGGCCACATGAGCACTTTGTGAAAAGCCTTAGAAATGTTCTCAAGGAAAAAAAACGTTCCAGATGAAGTATCACTAAAATGCATTTGGGCAAGGACTCTGTGTGGATTCTGGCTTGGCAGGCACTAAACACGTTTCATTCTGCATAGATGCTGCATGGCGTCCACCTGATGACTGATGAGGAGTGAGGCCTTTCATGTAGATAGATTTAAAAAAAAAAAAACCTTAATTATTTAAGCATCAACCCTTACAAAGAAAAAAGTCAGTTTTTTTTTTTTTTAAATAAAACTACATTAGACTCTGTTCCATATTTAATCAGCTTCTCAATCACTGGCACCAGAATGAAATCTCACTTGCTCTGGCTCAGAAGGTGTCATTGATGCCAACAGCAGTGACAGTTTCAGGAGGTGTTGTAGCCAACACCTCCAAAATGATGAACTGACTGGCCGCAGCGGTAGGTGCTTCACATTTTTCTGTTTCCGTCATGTTCCCTTTCCTACATTGACCATTTCTTACCGCTGCTCTCAGTGTAGCACCTCGAGCCTCATTTCATTGACGATTAGCTGAGGCCTGTGAAGGAAGCTTCCAAATTGGGTAGTGATCATGCCCAAAATAAACTTCAAGTTGCAGTCTGCCTGTCTCGGTGGGTGAGGTGAAGTCCTTCTCTGGAAGTGTCACACTAGTTGAACATGACTTCCTTTGGATGCTCAGAGTGGAGAATTCCCGTTCCAAAGCTGTCAGAGTAATTGTAATCCAGAGATTTTCATCCTAGAATCAGTATCTGAGATGTGAGTCTGTTTCCTTTGTTAAGACCCAAGGGATCCGTGGCCTACTTTTTCCCTGTGTGGCTGCCTCTCCCCCTTGTATGCAGTCACCTGAAGACAAATCTGTTCTCAGGTTCACTAAACATAACAACACATAAGAACACGTTGGACTTAATCCTTGCACATGACGTATGAGACAGTGGAATTAAGAAGGGTTATGGCATTTGGAGGGTACTGATGTAAAAATCAGCTCACGGTCAAGTGTTCAGTGTTCTTTTCAGTTCAGAAGGATTTGCAAGAGCATGTTATATGCATGGCAGACATTATTACTGTTCCTGGAGCTCTATCGTCCTGCTATTGCAAGCCATCCTGGGAGCACAGTTTCGGGGACAGACTACTATGTGTGAGTTGGGTGACAGATGGCTGGTCAGCATGGTTGGAGTTGGCCTTTGGTTTGGCTTTATTGTATGACTTTTGAGGGGCTGAGATGAGGTGGAATAGAACAATACAAGAAGTAACCTGTGCATTACATCAGATGGAAAATGTTAGGCATTTCTAAAATGGCCAGATTAGCCCAAATGATATGCTGAGTAGATGTCATCTACAAGATGGTGTTGCCTTGTGTCCAGGGAATAGAAATAGGAAGTGTTTCCAGAAAGTATAAAGTTCTCCTCCAGAATGTCGAAATTCAGAGTCCTAAAAACCAGTTTTGTTCTCCATGAATGGAAGATTTCAGCAGTGTTGGTTAACGGAGTTGAAAGAAAGCCATTGGTTAAAATGTAACTAAAGATGAAGACATAGATTAATTCCTGTTAACCTGGGAAGGGGATACATTTCCTAACTGACTCAGAATTCAGCAGTAATCAGGGGAGAAAATTGAAACATTTGACTGCCTTAAAAAAAGGGAAAAAAAAGGAGAAGAACCTGTATGGCAAAAACATAAGCAAGTTCTATCTTGATGGGTTGGTATCCTTTAATATATAAAGAGCTTCTAAAAACTGAAGGAAAAGTTCCATAATCCAACAGGAAAATGGGCAAAGGCCCATTACTCATTCCAAAGAAAAAGAAGCTTATTGCAACAAGCATTTGGAAACACATTACCCTCACTCACCATAAAGAGAAATGCATACTTTAACTGCACCAAGATACCATGTCCCAAACATCAGGCTCAGCAGGATCCAGAACTTGGTAGCATAGGTGTTCCAATGGTGAGGGTCTGTCCATCTTTTCCTGCCCTACTAGTGACAATGCAGTATGGTCCTGAGTTGGGGAGCGTATTTGTCACAATGTAGCAAAACTATCAGCGCCATTTCCCTTTGACTGAACAGGTCATATCTAAGAGTCTCTCCCAAAGATAAGTGAGCAGAAATAAAAAATGGTGTGTGCACAGGTCATTTGTTGTGACACTGTTCAAAATAGGCAAAGAGTGGAAATAACCCAGATGTTCATACTAGGGGACTGAGTGAATAACTTGGTCCCCTGAGAGAGGGGGCTGCTGTGAAACTGGAAGGAGCAACAAGGACGGTCCCCACTGCTCTGAGGGCAATGCCCGGGAGACGGGAAGTAATAAAGCCAGCATTCAGGGCAGCTGGTCAACTTATTTCCTTATGTGTAAGAAGGCAATGTGTGCGTATGTTAGCGTATATGAATTTGCCTGTATTTTTAAAAGAGATAAGGTAAGGAAAAATAGCAAGCCAATGAAAGTGACTTCCCCTGAAGAAAAGGCGTGCAGGACCAGGGACAGAAAGTAGGTATCTCTTTAATGTACCTTATTTTGACTTGGGAACCATGTAAATGTTTCATGTAATTTTAAAAAAGAAAGTAAGAAAGAATTCACTAACAACTGAAAACAGATTGAAAAAAATAAAACATGCCTATGTTCTATCGGATTAGTGTGAATGTCCCACACAGAGAAAATAATTACTTCAAGTGACTTTAAAACTCTGTCTTTGAACCATGCATTTACTGGGGGAAATATTTACATTGTTATTTGAAACTGTTAGAGGTATACGGTAGGAGTCCAGATTTTCAGTATCCAAAAAGGTGGGTAGTATTTAAGGAATTTAAGACTGTATCATCTCTAGCTAGAATAGGAAATACCAATATCAATTTACTTTTCTCTTTAAAAGGGAAATGTTTCCTAGGTCTCTACTTAGAAAAGGATCAAAAGTGAAGTTAGTCCAGTTGCAAGGAGTATCCTTGGCCCTCAGATTGGAAACCTTTTAAATACCTCTTCTACTGGGATGGCTGGGTGGCTCAGTCAGTTAAGTTTCTGCCTTCAGCTCAGGTCATGATCCCAGGGTCCTGGGATTGAGTCCCACATCAGCCTCCTTGCTCAGAGGGCAGTCTGCTTCTCCCTCTGCCTGCTGCTCCCCCTGCTTGTACTCTCTCACATACAAATAAATAAATAAGTTTTACTTATTTTATTTATTTTTATTTATATTTTTTATTTATATTTTTTATTTTTATTTATTTATAAAATAAAAATAAATAAATAAAAATAAATACCTTTCCTGCAATAAGGAGCCTCCTGTTCAAATCAATACTGATTCCAGGTCTGGGGCAAGAAACATTCACAAGGGTACCTCTCAGACATGCCAGAAAGCAAGGAAGCTAAGGAAGACCATGGGGGTGGGGTCAGAAGGCCATAGGAACCAAAGACCAGGTAGCTGGAGAATCGGAAAGAAAAGTAGCTACAGTGGATTGCATTCAAACCAGTGATGGATACTCCATGAGTCCAGGATGAACCTCCCAAGAGAGAAGACCACAGAGTCCATCGATCCCCCTTCTCAAGTTGCTAGGACACCACGTCATTACTCTGAAGAATAAAAGGAAAGAATCCAGCTTTGATCTTGCCTTTATACGGCAAGCTGTATTTGAAGGTAATCAAAAAGTTGATGAAAGAAATTTGTTAATCACGAAGAAATCACAGCTAATAAATGCCAAAGGAATGCAGAAGGAGAAAATCAGCATTTTAATACTGCGAGGGAGACAGTGGGGATAAGGCAGGCATCATCCGTGGTTGGTACAGCCTTCATGTCGTAAGTTGATGGAAAGCTTTCTCATGAATGGCTCTGCCTTAACTGGAGAAAATGTGGACATAGAGAGGCAGTTAAGCAGTTCAAGACCTTTGCTGTATTTTGATGTGTTCAGGCTGGCGGATTGGCACAAAGCAGTGACTCCCAAAGAACCTTTCTCTGTCCGCCCAGAACTAGGGTGCCCCCCAAGAGAGGGTCCTTTCCTACCCATGAGACAAAATGGTGGGCCTGGACTAACCCACTTAATCCCACAGAATTTTCCATTCCCTCACCCTTCCAGTAACTGTGGCTATTCCAGAGATCTGAAGGGGAAGATCATTGGTTTGAGTGTAAGAAGGAGTGTCAACTTATATTTACGTATTATTGGGTTTTTTCCTAAACACAACATATTTACCAGTGTTTACTATGTGGGTTGATAGTAACCATTATATCGTTGGTGTGTAAACACGCACCTGTATTACCCAGTTGTAGTGGATTGTGTGCCGATGCAGTACGAAATGGAAAGCGCAGATCCCCAGGAGTGGAGTGTTGTGCTCGGAGAACTTTGTTGTCTTCCAGTCCAGCTGTCATCTGACCAGATTTAGCAGTGTTTCAGGCGTGTGTGAAGTGCAGGGAGAGGATGGGGAAGCCAGTCAGAAAGGGCCGAGCTGGAAGACAAAGAGAAAAACGCACCATTGCCAAGGCATCTCTAGGAGCAATGACATGAGGTTGTCCTGACCAGAGCGTGTTTGCGCTTAAATATTCAGAGTGGAACACTTCTCACCATAAACCTGCTTCTGTTTCTTCTCTAACTCCTCTCCTCACTAAGTTGGTGGACTTTCTCTAAGTTGGAAAACATGATTTTTCTTCATTGTTTTGCTCCAGATCTCAGAATTTCACTGCAGCAGTCCTCTGTGTGTATTCTGTTTGCATTCTGGCATTTTTGTGTCAGCCTAGGCCATTCCTGATGCCTCCCTAAGTGCTTCCATAGGGACCACCCGAGTGGTCAGGCAACGCTCAGTCTGTTTGCCTTCATCTCCTGAGTGATGACTTTT